TAATACTTGGACGACTCAAAGCCAACTTTGATGGAGCATTGAAAGTAGAGGAAGGCCTTAGTGGGATAGGAGTGGTAATAAGAGATGATAGGGGAGATGTGATTGGCACATGTTCAATAACAGTATAGGGTGTAAACGATCCCACAACGGTTGAGGTTTAGACAGCATTAAAGACAATGGAAATGGTGAAAGACATGGGAATCCAGGCTGTTGAGATTGAAGGAGATGCTGTTGTTATTATAAACCAAATCAGAGCTGTGGAGAAACTTTATCAATGGTTGGTGAACTTTTAAAAGATATCAAGATACTGGGCCAAGAGCTTAGCATTTCTTTGCTATTCGTACTAGTAGAGCAGCTAATGAGGCAGCTCACAGATTGGCTAAAACTGCTCTTCAACAACTGAGAGAGCCAACCTATTGGTTTAATGAATGTCCTCCGCTTCTTTTAGATGTAATTTATGTTGAGAAACCAAGTTTATGATCTAATGAAGTTACTTTTCAAAAAAAAAAAGAAAAAGAAAAGGATTGTAGGTGCAGGATATACATTAGGAATTAAAAACAGCTTGAAATCTTATATCTCATATAAATATATAAAAACTAAAACTTTTGATAAAAAAAGAAAAAATTCAATGTGGATAATCTATTTTTTTGACATGTGGATTATTTTAAACAATCACCACATATCTTACATTTAATTATTTCAATTTAACTTCATATATATTTTATTAATTTAAAAAATATTTATTTGGCTAAATTAGGTTATTTATTTTCTTATAAATATTCAATAATCTTGCCTTTTATAAATTTGTTACAATTAAATTATCTTAAATCAATTTCAACTAAATTCAATTCTTAATTTTAAAAATCAAACATGTATAGTATCAATAAGAAATATGTTTTGAAAATATTGACATTTAATGACCAAGATTTTAGTATTTAAAGAAATAATTTGTGTATTTATTAATCTAATTGAATATATATGGCATATAATGCTAAAAATTCAAACCTAAAATAAAAGTCTAATTAGTTGGAAACATATATTCATATTTATTTTTATATAAGTATTAATTATAATCTTATATAAATATATAAAAACTAAAACTTTTGGTAAAAAAAAATTTAATGTGGATATTTTATTTTTTTGACATGTGAATTATTTTGAACAATCACCACATATCTTGCATTTAATTATTTCAATTTGACTTCATATATATTTTATTAATTTAAAAGATATTTATTTGGCTAAATTAGGTTATTTATTTTCTTATAAATATACAATATTCTTGCCTTTTATAAATGTGTTACAATTAAATTATCTTAAATTATTTTCAACCAAATTCAATTTTTAATTTTAAACATCAAACATGTATACTATAAATAAGAAATATGCTTTGAAAGCATTGACTTTTTAATGACCATGATTTTTGTATTTAATTAAGAATTAATTTCTGTATTTATTAATCTAAATGAATATACAAGGCATATAATGCTAAAAATTCAAACCTAAAATAAAAGTCTAATTAGTTGGAAACATATTTTCATATTTTTTTCTATATAAGTATTAATTACAATTGGTATAATTTATTGTCTTACAACAATTTTTCAAAATATTAAGTGTAGACTTTTCAAAATAAAAGATATATTACATAAATAATTAATAATCCATTATAATTTTTTGCATAAATTACTCTCAATTTATAAAAATCTCTCAAATTCTTATTATAAATAGAGAATCCTGCATACTAAGAGTACTAGGAGGTTAATCTTCAAAAGCCTCCAAATGTATTGATTTCATTATGATCAAGAAAATTTTGCTCACCAAGTTACATGTCTTTTTATGTTCATAAACTTTTTTTTTTGTCATGTTTGTCAGTTGATTTTATCTCTTTTATTCACTTTTTTCTGCATGTTCATGCTTCACTTAACCATTCATTTTCAGTATTGTCTTTATTTATTTATTTATTTTTTACTTTTGAATGGAATAATTTCATATGTTTTATCTCTTTTTAGTTTTAATCCTTGGAAATTTTGTCAGATTTTCTTCATGACTACTAATGGATGTGAACAAGGTGAGATTTTTAGTTAAGTTTGGAGTTTACTAGAATTTAGCACAAGTTTTTGCCTTCCTATTTACTTTTCATTTATAGTTTTATCCATATTTAATATGTAATATATGGTTTCAATCTCATTCGCCAAAGAATGCAAATTCAATTTGAACTATTTTGATATTTGTGAATACAATGCAAGAATGGACATGACCAATACAATGGTTTGTTATTATTGTTGTGAGTTCTAGATGTCTTACACCAAAGCAAGGGATAGCATCAAGCAAAAGTTTCTACAAAAAATTGATTTTAAGTGAAATAAATTTCTATCATTTGAAATCAAACATTATTAATTTTATATAAATATCACTATTAGGTGAGATATGATACAAAGCCTTTTTCTTTATATTATATAGGTACATATTGATCTACAATATTTTTATTTTTTCATTATTTTACATTGAAATTTTTTATTTTTTATATAAAATTTACTAGTTATATTATATGTAATTGAGTTATATATACAATTGTTTATCTATACATTGCACGGGTTTAAAACTAATAAATATATAAAAATCAAAATTTTGGCAAAAAAAGAAAATGTTCAATGCGGACACTTTATATTATTGATATATGAATGATCTTAAAAATTGTTATGTGTCTTCTAATAAATATATTTTATTTTATTTGGTATACTTTTAATTTAAAAATAATTCCAAAAAACTAAATTTACTACATTTATTTATTTTTATTATTTACCTTAAATCACTCTCATTAAATTCATATGAAATGTATTAAACTTTGATTGCCATTATTAATAAATAAAATAATTTTATATATCTTTTTTCAATTATAAATATTCAACTCTTAAATTATATCTATTAAAAAAAAACACTTTCCAATTTTTTAAAAGCTTAACCTACTGGCTTTACGTTTTAAGCTATATATGTATATATATTTAATATATTGATTTTAAAATGATTAATAGATAATTAAATCAATTAAAATTAATTTTGACATGTTAAATCAAACTAATTTAATTATCATTATTACATTAATTTCAAAATCTCACTTTTCATTTCACTTAAACACATTGAATACACATTATATAACTATTTTATTTGTCAAATATAAATTACTCTCGATTTAATATGTTATTATTCTTAATTTGATTCTTAATTTATTTTAGTCAATTAATCGTTCAAAAATTAAAAATTATTCCATAATTAATTAAAAGAGCCACCCTATATAAGTAAGAGTCACTTGAGATGTTTAATAAATAGATTGCATGCATCATTACAAGAATTTTTTTCCCCATTGATGGTACTCCTTTTGCCATGGAGTAAAGGTAACCTAAGTTTTTTTTCTTTGTGATTATGTATTTAGATGGATTAAATGCACAAAAATTAATATAGTCAATTCTATTAAAGTTTTCTTTTATCCCTTTATGTTTATTTTTGTATTATTTTGATTACTCCTTTTAATGTGTTAAGAACTTTCTTATGCATTGTAAAATAATTTATTTTTTAAATCATTTTGAGAAGAGATATTTTAATTTTGGAATATATATTTTGCATTAAAATTTAAATATATTATGTGTTATCATATTCTATTTTATAAATATGAGATTTGAATCTACTTGGTTGTTGTTATGCAGTAGGTTGTTGAATTGGGCATCATCCAACTTTTATTGAAAATCTATTGTTCTAAAATTGAGTGTTTTTTTAATTACTATCTTTCTTTCTTCTTTTTATCAATTACTAATTACTATTTTGATTTTTGAAACTAAAAATACATTTAGAGTTATTTTAAAGGCGTAAAGATGAAAAAAGTTATTGCATTGTTTTGGGAGAAAATTTACAAATCACAATAAGATAGCCAAGGAATGTGAACAACCAGGACGAAAATGTTGAACAAATTAAAAAGCCTAATTAATATTGTATCCAATCATTTGTCAAAGTCATTGTTGATGCATAATCTTTTATACTTTTACTAGATTTCGAGCCAGCATTTATCACAGGAATAAAATAAAGTTATATACTTGTAATTTAACCAACCCACCACCTCAGCTGAGCCTTGGCTAAAGTCGGGTTCCTGCCAATATCTTAGAAACTCTACCACCTGAGCCAAGTTTAACAACCAAACTATTGAGCCAATCATGATCAGGCTGAAAGGTCATCATGATATATTAGCAGGCAATATTACATATGTCCTTAATCATTCAACCACAAGGACAGTTTATATGTGAAGCTTCACATTTAAATGAAGCATGTAATAGATATGATCAGAAACAAACTACTATAATCAAGGGGAGATCTAAATACTCATAGACAGATGATGATTACAGATAACTTTAAAAAAAAAAAAAAAACAACAAACTTACATGCCAGAAGGAACAAACACATCTGGAAGTTAGTATTATTCCTGGAGAATATAGTTATTATCAATAAGAAAAAATGGAATGCCAGTAAGCACATTAACCATGGTTCTGGCCGAAAAAGGAAACAAACAGGTAAGGGAATTGTTATCAATAGATGGTGGATCAAGAACCCAAGTGGGATCATGTCAAAATTAGAGCCCCCCTCCCCGTGTCTCTATAACAAAACAAACCAAAATGATTATAACATTATTAGAAAAACATATAACCATGTCTCCATAATGAACATAAGGATTATGACTGACACTTGATGCTAAACAACAAGTCATCTAAAAGAAGATAGTTATGGCTTTAAGCATCCCAATTGAAGGGTTTCCAACTTTCCATTAGTCTTTTAGAAATAGCTGAACTAAAAATTAAAAATTAAAAATTAAAAAAGTACCAAATGTTAAACTCATCAACCATGCATGACATCTTTAGTTCACTAACCACATAACATAAGCATAGAGCAGCAACAGATCTAACTCAAGAAACTGACTTTACACCAAGCAGATCAGATAAAGAAAACCTGTAAAATACATTATTACCAGTTTAAACTTGGGTTTAGCATTGTTTCAATCACCAATTTAAATGAAAATTTGTACATTATGCAATCAACATCATCACCCAAATCATTAATGCCAAAAGAAAATTTGATATTAATCAAATTACATGCTTCCAAATGAAACATATAAAAATGAATCAATTTTTCTTTTGAAACAGTTTCCTCTCAATTTTACTTCTTAACCAACAGTAACATTTAGAAACATCCTCTTTGGTTACTGAGAAAATGATGAAGAGAAAAGAATAAAAAGAAAACACGTTTTTTTTTTTACTGATAATTGATTTCAAATATCCATTGTATGCCTGCAAAAGACTTTTGACATGGAGAACTGTCAGCCCATTTGATTTCATCAGCTTCAGTATTTTCCTGTGTGTTGCCTCTATGATTCATAGAATTTAATGAATTAATAAGGAATTTCATTCTCTTTGGTGCATATGAAAAAAAATTCTTTTTTTTTTATTCAATTATAGGAAGAATCTCTCTGTGCCACTATGGAGATTGACGCAATTTACAAACTTCTCATGAAGATTTGCAGTCCATTTTAGTCTTGTTTTGATGTTTGAGGGCCTTCCTCGGGTAAAACAGACTTACCAGAAATCCTGGAAAAGTTTGGAGATTGCTGTTCTGGTTCATCATGAAGGCATAAGCTAACCTGTTTTGATGAAAAATTAAAAAATAATTATGAACACATTTTATTTTTCTTACAAAACCCAAACGTGAATGGAGAAATGCTTAAAATTTTAGTTTTTTTTACAATAATTAGTCTTGTTTGGCTACTTACAGATATGCATATTCTTGTGCATAGGAGGCAACAGCACAACATGCATGAACACGGGGGTGTTAGTAACATGCTTCTGAAGCAATAACAATTAGAGAATATATACATAATCTTACCTCATCAAAATCAACTCCACATTCAGTGGCAACTTCTCAAATCAAATCAGAAGCATTAGCATCCATCTCGATGATTAAATCTTAACCTGAATCAACAAAATTGATAATGACAGCAAGATTAATAGATCCTCCAAAACCTAATTAAACAAAATACATTACTATTTAAACGACCAGGCATCCAAAAGAAAAAGAAAAAAAATAATTAATTCAATTGAAAACATTAAAATAAAGACAAATAAAATGTGAAACTGACGTTCAACAGAAAGGTAGAAGAGAATCAAGGCATCGTGGAGATATTGGCCGTAGCGTTGCAGGCAATCTTGGCATCATCGACGAGTTTGAATTCAAGGTCAAAGCCACGAGATTTGAGGGAATTGGAGCAAAGGGAGTGAGACAACTTGATGGCGAAATCGTCGAGAAGGACCAGGACTCGGCGATCGATCAAGGTCTTGGGAGGGAAAGAATTGCAGAGAAATGCAAGAAGCATCGAGATCAAAACAACAAAAATCACCCACAATTTGCGGTGAAATTCAGAAAATAAAAAGCAGATGACCCTGCCAGATTCTTTGTCCGAGAAGCTTTCGCTCAAGCAAGAAACAATTGAGATTTTTTACCCAAATTGACCCCTCCATCATCTTTGAATTCATTACTGAGCCGTCCCTGGTAGAATCAATTAGGTACAACTTTTATATATCTTATAAATGTGAATTCCTGTAATTTTATGATATACTTTTGCATATGACTTTTTACCTGTTTTTGCAATCTTTTTAGGATATAATTAAATATGATTTAAATCATTATAGTTGCCATCATTTTAGATGGTATTCAAATAATGATATTTTTATTTTAAAATTTAGATCATTATCAACCCAAAGGGAATTTATAATAACAATTATTAAATGTGTCTTAAAATTTTGTGATGCTAATTGAGACAATAAATATTGATAATAAAAATAAAATTTTATTTTGTTGCCGAATTGATTCATTTTATATGTTCTAGGTTTTAGTTCCAATTTCATATTGGTGAAAGTTTTATTTGTTCTGTACCTATTTTGTTATTTTTATAACTTTATTTTCACAATTTCATTCTTTATATATAAAAAAAAAGTCTACATATATATATTAATTTCCTTAATTATTAAAAACTTTAACTAACCTAATCTTTAATATCTTTTTTTTTTCTTTATTCATTAAAATCTTAATTTTTTAATAATATAATTTGAATGGAGAAAAAGTTATAAGACAAATAATAATTAAATTATTATTGAATGGTAAAAATCATTAAAAATATAATAAACATAAAATTACAATCATTTTTCAGTAAATAGTCAATGTTACAACTCAATTTGTAATTAAAATTTAATTTCTCATTATTATTTACCTTAAATTGTTCACAACCAAATTTTATTATTTAATTTTTAAGTTTTAAATTCAACATTAACACTGCATATATAGAATAATTAATAATGAAATAAATTTAAATTTAAATTATTATTAAAAAATTAAATTTCAATTTTATATATTATTTTTTTAATATTACAATACTACATTAAATGAAGGACTTTCTAGCATGTTGGGATTTGAGTTACTTCCAATTAATTAATCCATATAAAAAACATATTTTAAAAAGATATTACATATTAACTATTTGATATTTGAACAAAAGCTTATAATTTTTAAAAATTATCTAATCATTAAAACAATTACTATATTTTTATAAAAATAATTTATTAATTTAATTATCTTATTTAGACAAATTTCATCTACCATTAAATCATTAAAAACAAATCTTAATTTTATTTTTATATTATGCAATCTTTTTTATATTTATAATTTAACATCAAATATATTATAAAAATAGTCAACAACCATGTCAATTATTGGTAAAGTGTTAAATTTTTAATCTCAGCAATTATGGCTTAAATTCTAATACTAAAATATATATAATCTAACAATATCTATTAAAATGTATGTGCAGATAAGTATGAAAAAATAATTAATGAAAAAGTATGAGTTTTTTAATAAAAATTTTGAAATTGATTATTTAATGGTTATTTGACATAGATAAATATATTAATTGCAATCAAATTATTAAGTTTTTAATATATAAAAAGAATAAATATAAATTAATTTTAATATATATTTCTTAGATTATAATTTTTTTTAATATCTTTTGTTTGTTAAATTCGTAAAAAATTAAAATAATTTTATTTCAAAGTATGTGATTGTCTAATTAAGAAATACTATTTTTACCCCTAGAAAGATGAATTTAAAGAAAGTGAATTTAGATTTTATTTGCTAAATAAATTGTAAGAATAAAATGTAAGCATTATGCACAAATTAATAAAATTCAATATGATTATTGATTTAATTTAAAAAATATAAAAAGATGAATTTCAAATTCACAAATATATATAAATATTTAAAAATCTCTACTAAATTAACATCCAACAAATCTTTAAATTTGAAAAATAATATGAAATAATGTTATATTTATGTGTGCTTTATCACACTTTTTTTAATACTTTAATTTCAAATTGAAATAACTACAATATATAAATTTAGAATTTAAAAGAAAATAATATTTATAAGATTTAATTAATTAAATAATTTTATAAAAAATAAAAAACTCCTTGCATTGCAGGGTAAAAACTAGTTAATATTAAAGTAGTAATAATGAATTGAATAATTGTATTTATTATTGTATTTTAAAAAAATAGTGGTACCAATTGTTACAAATAGCGCAAAAAAAAAATAAAAGATTCAAAGGGAGATATCGAAGTATAATATTAGGTGGCAGTGCGTTGTGAATAGCTGGAGTTGAGTTGTGTGGTCTTTTAGAGTAGGGTATTGGTATTATCAGAGTAGCAGAAGCCGGAAGAGAAAAAGTTGGACAGAAAATGGAGCATCCATACGTGCCGAGAGATCTGCAACTGCCTGGATATGTCCCCGTCTCCCTCTCTCAGTCTACCATTCTCACCGTCTTTGGTCTCTCTTCTCTGTTTGTCGTCTCGCTTGTCTGGCTCCTTTCCGGTTTGTCTCTCTTTCTATTACTTATTCATTCTTTCTAATGCTTTTTGCGCTGCAAATGACAATACCCATCAACACCTTCACATTTCGGTACTTTGTGTGGACTTTATGTCTACAAAATGTTTGGGTTTGGATTTGGGTTTGGGTTTGACTTTGACACCAACTGAAAAAAAAAAAAAGAGTTGGCTGACCATGAATTTCTTTCTGATTATTACTTATTAGCTGATTGTTAACAATACATTTAAAGAGCCATTAAACTTGCTGCAGTCTGGATCTACTAAGAGACTGAAAACTGTGTTTGACTTGTTCTACCAGGGAGATGGCGCAATTTATCTAATCTTGATAGATTGCTCATGTGCTGGTGGGCATTCACGGGACTGACACACATGATTCTTGAAGGTTATTTTGCTTTCTCTCCTGAATTCTACAAAGAAAAGACTGGATTTTATCTAGCCGAAGTTTGTAAGTTCCTTTTACCTTGTTCCTTTTATGATAATTGCCATACCTGGTAGGTTCCTAAGTGGACAATTTACTCATGATTAAATGTCAGGGAAAGAGTACAGCAAAGGTGACTCAAGATATGCTGGAAGGGATACAGCAATTGTTACTGTTGAAGGAATAACTTCAGTTCTGGAAGGTCCACCTAGCCTTCTAGCAGTGTAAGATTGGACTTTGCAAATTACAAGATTCAATTTATCAATGTATTTTTATCCCTTCTGCTTTGATTATTCTCATTTTAAAAGGTTTTTGATAATTTGACAGGTATGCTATAGCCACAGGTAAGGGATATAGCTACATACTGCAGTTTGCAATCTCCCTGGGACAGCTCTATGGAACTCTTGTGTATTTCATAGCAGCTTACTTAGACGGGGATAACTTCGCTGCAAGCCCATTTTATTACTATGCATACTATATTTTGGCAAATTCCTTCTGGATTCTGATACCCTCACTAATTGCTGTTCGATGTTGGAAGAAAATTTCCATGGCAGTGCAGAGCCAAAGCCAGAAGAAGAACAAGGTTCGCTGAGGTAGACTGCAGAATATTTCTTTGTTTAACAATTGTCTTAGTTTGTGCACTTGTGCGGGCAATGTCGAAATAATTTAAGCATTCCAGTTAAAAACAGTGACATTGTGTTTTCTCTTTTTGAGTTTTCCATAAATGAATGTTTATTGCTTTTAATAAATTGAACACATCGAGTAACAATCTTCTTGAATTGTATTTGTCATGATGTTATCACAGTATAACCTCCCTGAATGGGTGAATATTTCCTTGTGGATGCAATCACTAGCCTGCATAGTATTATGATGTGGAAGGTCTATTACTGTAAGTTTAACTGTTATTGGAGCTTCCTTAAGCTTACTTTGTGCCTCTATTATTTGTTCTTAGTAGCACAGCAAGCTATGTTCATTTATCTTTTACCCAGTCTTCCCTTCTTGTTAGAATCAATTTGTCATTTGGATGCATGTTTTTGCCTAGATACTCTCCGAACCATTTCCGGAGATAGGGGTCTCAAAATGGCAAACAACTCGGTGCTCTGCTTTGCAGTAAAGTAGCATGCCTGGACACATGGTGCCTTGTTTTTTTTAAAACACCTATTTCTCTTTGTTTTCTTCCATTTCTGGTTGTAGTGCATCCGGATGAAAGATGAATGGATCTATGCTCGCCATCTTGGCGAGGGAAAAAGAACCCATGTAAAAGAATTGACAGTAGCCTTGAGTTTTTGTTTTTTTTCTTTTCAGTAGCTCAGTTTTTAGACACTCAGGGACAATTAGTTCTCAATGATCATATTCCAACTGGCGCAAGGTTCTTGACATAATTTGATAGAACAGGTTGGATGTCAACACCCAAAAAGTAAAAAAGAAAAGAAAAGAAAAAACAGTTTTTTTTTTACATGAGATCATCAGGATTATGAATTCAATATTCTATCAATAAATCACTTGGACATAATTTGATAGAACTGGCTGGATGCCAACACCCAAAAAGTAAAAAAGAAAAGAAAAGAAAAGAAAAACAGTTTTTTTTTTTTTTTTACATGAGATTGTCAGGGATTATGAATCCAATACTCTATCAACAAATCACTTAATCATCGACAGAAAAAAACAAATTAGATAGATCTTCTTAGCATTTTCTTTCGTACTCAGCAAAATTAAGCTTATTTGAAGAAAAAAATTTGTTTGGCTGCTTCTTTTGGTATTTTCCTTCTTTCAACTCTCCTTAGACCATGCGCTCAAATGCTTGTCTATTGTAAGTTTTATCGCCTGAAAGGTATCGGCGACTTCATGATACGAGCCAAATGCAACATTGCAAGAATGAAGATGAATGTTTTGTAAATTTCAGAACAGAGAAGAAGGATAAAGAAGATAAGAATGAAGGTGAATTTTCTGTAAATTCCAGAACTGGGAAGAGGAAGGAAGGAAAAAAAGAAAGAGAGAGATGGAGACAAAGAATGCTTTGTTCTATTCCAATGCTTCCACTATTATCTTAAAATGATGATTCCTTCCCTTAAATTTATAAGAGACCAATACTCGTATTGTAACTAATCCAATGTAAATAATCCAGCATCATCAATTAACTTTGACATTAATGTTAACTAACTTTAACAGATAATAAAATACTATACTGTAATGCTTAGGGATGGCAATAGATATTAAATAAAACAGATATCTATAATTATTCAATCCATTTATGTTAGATTTGAATAGTCATAAATAGATAATTGACATATACGGATAAAAGATTTACTATTCATAATTTATTTAGAGCAGATACGGATAATATCTCTTAAATATTTAATATCCAAATCCGTTTAAATTTTAATGAATAATAATAGATATCCGAATTTGTTACCGATTTATGTATGTAAAGTATATAAAATTTTATTCTTGTGGAAGGTTTCAGATCTTAAAAAATAATTTTTATCTATTATTAATTAAGAGTGAATTCAAGTTTTAAATTAAATTCTTGTTTATTTATATTTTAACAAAAAAATTTAAATAAATAAATATTTTAACGGATTCGTATATTTAAACGAATAACACTTATTTAAATAGATTCGAATTTAGATAGTGATATTAAATTTAAATGAATATTTAAATGGATTTGAATATTATAAATATTAAACGGATTTGGATATGGATATATTATAAATAATGGATATTTGCTTTGTTGCCATTCTTAATAATACTAGACTCATAAACAAGCCATGAAGTCTATAATGTAGTTTACATTTAATTTTCATATTCATGTGATTTTTGCAATTTTAGTTTACATTTAATTTTCAATCATGCATTTATTTCAGTTACTTGTTCTTGTGTTTTAGGATTAGATAAAATTTTATTCATTGTTTTCCATGTCTTGTTTTCTTATTTGGTTCTAATTGATTACTTGTATTTTTTTTAGTAGAATTTCAATTGATTTTTGTTATGTGGCATATTAGTTTTTTTTTTCAATTTTGCATTAGTTAATTTTTTATTTTCTCATAGATATTCTTTGATTGAACCAACTTTAATAAGAGTAGGGTGATAACCGGTATTTGTCTTTGTGGGATCAACATTTTGACTAAAAGATTGTTTTTATTATTTGTCAAGCCTGTATACTTACAGTTTACCTGAATCAATGTCTACACTCACAAGATGAAAGAAAACAACTTTTAATATTTATAATTCACTTTCAATTCAAAACAATATGTTGCAAAGCTCAAAAAGCTTTTTTCAAATAAGAGTTTGTTCTAGAAAATGTACAAAACAAATATTGTCCCAAATAAAATACATACAAAAACGTTTATATAGATGGGAAGAAAATATTTACAATTACATGTGTACAATACATAGTGAAAAATGAGAATTCATTTGCAATAGCACCATATACGAGAAAGAAGAAAACAAAATTGCCCAAAATAATGTAAGTACAATGATGTTTACATGGATGAATATATATATATATATATATATATATATGTACATGTGCATCTATGTAATGCAAAAATTCTTTTCCAATTAGACTTTATGCAATCCTAAAGAGAGCAAAAACTACCTTAAACAAATGATATGATATACAAATAAAATGTTTACATGGATGAAAATATATATACAATTACATGTATGCCAAACAATGATTCATTTTTAATTATGTAGAAAAGTAAAAGGAACAAAGATTACCCCAAACAAACAAATAATATATACACATATATCCATTACATAATATAATTTGAAGATTCATATTCAAAATTATATACAAAATTAAAGAGAGCAAATCAAATAATATATATAATGAAACAAGATTCATTCTCAATTAAAATAGAAAGGCAAAATTACCCTTGATCCACACCTTTCTTTTATATACACGGATAAGTGAAATGATGCTTATGCAAGAATGATGCATGTATGTAATGAAACAAAAACAAGTGATGCAAAAATGAAAAAAAATTTCACTCAAAATCTCAAATTTCCCATTTTGAGGTAAAAGACTTACCCTTTAAAAAAAAGTTTTATTTTTTGCAAAAAAAAGAAAAAACGTATCTAAAAAAAATAAAACATTAACAAATACAAGATCAACATAAGGACATGCCTTACACAAGCAATTGATATAGCTATACATTAAGGTAGAGTTCTCTAAGTTTACTATATGCTTGGTTAGGATGTTAGTCCAAATTAAAGGTTCCTAAATTGTTCCCCATTATAGTTTATTATAGACTAGTAAGACACCCTAAGCCTCATCCATTATAAGCTACAAAAGGGAAATGATTTAATTCGAGTGAAAGTGTTCGCTAGCTAAGGTAGAGACATAAAATCTCATAACAGCATAGTTATTTAACTCTCTCTTAAGAGACGAAGCTCAGGTATAGAGTTCATATTATGCAAATGAATGACAAATCAGTACATGATTAAGGATAAATAAATCATTTAAAGAAAAATTTTTAATTTTATTAAGTTAAGCTTGGATAGCATGAATTTATTAGCCTGACTTTAGGCTATTCCCTAATGGAGTTACCAAACTGTCATAACATCTAGATTCGTAGACCTATCATTAGACATAAACATAAACTTAAAGAGCCACAAATCATTTTTGTTTAAGTATGATTGATTGCCTAACTAAATCTGTTCCATTTTAAAAAGATGTCCGAAGCTAGACTCAGGTATCTTTAAAAGATAGATTTTAGTCTATGAAATCAAAACTAGGTTTAAGAGTACGATTAACATCTTAAAAGATGGTACCAGTTTGATTTTTTATTATCTAAAGTCTCAAAAGATTTTACCAAATAATTTAATATTAAAAATTATCTTTAAATTATTTCAATATGCTACTAATAATTTAGGATAATCTCTCACCTTAAGAGTATTCAAGGAGAATATTTGTCATACTTTAAAAAAGCTTTGTCATAGAATTCATTTAATTTATTGCAAAAAATTTTTATTTGTGATAATCTAATGAGATTTAAAACCTTGGTATAGAAAATTTCTATCTAAATTATTTAATATATTGATAAAATTTAGAAAAGATTTCTCACTTAAGAATTTACATAGAGATTACTATTTACAATACTCTTAGTAATTTTATTATCGGAGATTCAAAACTTAAATTTTATAAAATTAACTTATTTTTAAAAATATCTTTCAATATGTTGATAAAATTTTCTGTTAAAGATTATCTTCAAATATGTTGGTATGGTTTTATGAAAATTAATTTTTTTCTTTATTTATTTTTTTAAAACTTAATTTTTATTAAAAATCATATGTTGATAAATTTTTTTTTTTAAACCACTAGCGTTGATAAATCTTTTTAAAAATTATTTTTTTTTCAAAATTTAATTTTATTAAAAATTAATAAAATTATCTAATATATTGATAAAATTTTATTTTGAAAATAAAATTGCAAGCCCTCCAATATATTAATAATGCTTTATTTCTTAAATTTTATTTTCTTAAATTTCTTTTTTTAATTTTAGAAACCTTTAATGGGTTGACAGGGTTTTTGGTTTTAATTGAAAATATTTTTTCAAAAAATAACAAATGAAATAAGTGAATAAAAAAGAAGAATACCAAGATAGGGGTCTGACTCGGCTTATAATATGAAATAGCTCGGCTACAAACTCAGAAACATCACACAGCTCGTGACTTGATGGCTCGGTCTCAGCGTCGGCTCTATTGGCAAGTTACGGTCGGGTCGGATCCTCAAGAGGACTGACACGCGGACCCTTTAAACGGGTCAAAAAGAACCCAAGTTTTCATGTCCGACATGGCGTCGTTTTATTAGTGCTATAAAAGCCCTACTTTCTTTAGTTTTTCATTTTTCATCATGTTTCTCTGTCTAGGAATCAGAGAGTTCTCTGCCTCTCTCACTAAGTAGCAATATATAATCTGGTAACCAAAACCCGGAAACCGATGAGGGTCACCGTCCCACACCATTGCCGACTGTCTCCGACCGATTTCCGTTGACACCCAAAACTCACCACAAGCCTCCTTTTTGCCTCATCGTCTCAGATCTGAGAATGATCTCCTTTGATACTTGATAGATTCATGTGAATTGGAGTCCAAAGCTCTCGATTATCTTCTCCAAGATCTTCCCCTTCACTGCTCGTACGGCCGCCACTTCCAGTTATGTTAATCCCTTTCTATTTTGCTGATTATGGCCTTGTTATTTGATGAAGAATTAATGACGGTGGCTGGGTTTAGTCTCTGTAGTGAAGGGCTGATGATTTTTTTATGCACGGCCTGGCAAGTTCCGGTAGTGATGGGTTGTAGCAGTGCAAAGATGGCTGTCTTGTGATGAATGAATTTTGGTTC